ATAGACAACATAACCGGGGGCGCTGCCCCGCCGCCCCTCACCGGCTCCCCCACCTCACCCTACGCCTCCGGCCAAGTTGGGAGCCAGGCTCAGGTCCTGGCCATGCTGACTCCTGCTTTGGCACCGGGACAGAACCACTTAAACTTGGCCCACGACTCTCTCCTGCAGCCGGGACAGAATTTTCCCAGTAAAATCACAAATCTGAGTAGCTGCCCTTTTTAAAAGAAATCCACCAAACAAAAAAGCCCCCCCTTCAAAAATATACCTCCCCCCCATTCTCCTCCTGTTGTGTTTTAAGGTAGGAATTCTCGCTCTTTCTCTTTTTGTTGTCTCTTTTTCGCATCCAGATCTGTCAATCTCTTCCCTTCTTCGAAAAAGTATTCTAACCCGCCCCACAAAAAATCCAAAAGTATATTTATAACGTGTCCGGAATGTCCGATGGGAAACTCAGCTGGTTAAAATGTAACGTTTCCTGGGTGTTAATTTTTGAAAATGGTCTTGGAAACATTTTTTTTCTTTGCGAGTTGCAAATACCCTGAAGAAAGTTGGGTGGTTGTTTTTATTTTGTTTTTTTTTAAACTGACAAGGAAAGTTTTCAAACGTCTGGGCATTTTTTTTTAAAGCGTTTGCGCGTTCCTTCTAGAAGCTCTGGTTTTAAGGGTTTCCTCCAAGGTATATTTTTGTTCAGTTCTCGAGGAAAATGTTTAATGATCCCATCATATATAGATAGATAGATATATAATCTTGGTGTGGTTGGCTTTACTTATAAAGCACCATCCACTATAAAAACAATCAGTGAAACTCGGGATGTTTTTAATGAGACCTATTCAAATGTCAGGAAGTTTTATCATTTTGATTCTTTTGATCCCAGTTTCCCCACCCCTTAAATGTGTGGGTGTTTTTTTTAATGTATCTGTAATTATTTGTATATAGACACTGTGCCGATTCACTTACCTCTCCTCACTCGTTGTGCGTCCCTCCTATCTATTTTATTGAGAGAATCTGTGAATCCTTTGTGGAGAAAGCAATTTTGTCCACCATGGTGTAAATTAATAAATGTGTGTGAACTGTTTAAAAGAAAACCCCCAAACCGATCGTTCGTTCTTATGTATTTTCTTGGTGGAAGACCTGATCACTCGAACTCCGGGCCTGAAAGCTGAAGGCTATTAACCACCCAATTCATTAAAAAACCGAGTCTAACTTTTTAAAATGAACCCAGTTAGATCTCCGGAGAGTGGGGCTTTTTATGACTTGAGAACGAAAGCTCCGGCTAAACCGAAGCACCAGCTCGTTAGGTTTTAACTGGCCTAAATCGGAACCGATCTCCTCGCTAGACATGGATTAACACGGAATAGAAGGGCAGGCGATTAACAATAGTTTTATTTCTTTTGATTTCCCAAACTGCTTAGCTCCTCTTCCTTCCTAGGTCAAAATTCAATTGGGTGTTTGCTCGTTGTGTAAATACTCTTCCCTTTTAAAAGTAGGCTAGCTCCAGGTTTATAAAATCTCCTTTCGATGATTAGACTTTTAGTTGTGGTTCTACAAGAGGCAACCCATTAAACTCCTGTTTGGAGGGTGGGGGGATTCTTGTTGTTGCCAAGCTGTTCCTAAGGGAAGAGGGGAGAGAATACGTGGGTCCCCCCCCCCTTTTTATTTTGTTTGGAAACGTTGACACATGGGAAAATAAATGGAAGGGTTTTTGTTTTTCCTGGGGCCTGGAGCGAATGACCAAATGAAACTTGAGCTCTGCTTAAATTCTGCAACAACTTACAAAAGTAAACAAACATCTCTCCCCCCCCCCCTTTTTTTTTGTATTGTCACCAAGAAAACTTGAAAGCAATCGGGGTTACTTTACCCAGCATCCTGCTGTCTTGTGGAGCTGGGGAGCAAAGAGC